CGGCTCTGTGTTCAGTTTTTCGAAATCGACCCAAAATATGCCTTACTGGTCGAGATACACCCTTGGAACTGGGATACAAGATATATCAGACCAACTAGAACGCTCGTTAGATAGTACGAACAGCCTCGGATACTCTGTCTACCCATAGAAACATGACCTTTCATCACTTTCTCATTAAAACTTCCATCAGAAAGCGTCGTTGTTAGAAAATATAATATTTTTGAAAAATCCAGGAAAGGTTTCACAGCTTGGCTCAAGTCGTGTGAATCTGCTCATATACTGTACTGCTTTCTTTCGAAGAGAATGTGTGAACTAATTGCGAGGTATTGCAATGTCTTCAAGACGCTAAGCAATTAAAGAACTTTCAGGCGGTGCTACTTGATCACATATTTCTAACGACTTTGTACTATGTTCATTAGCTTTTTGATAATTAGCTTTTTTCGAATAAATAACTGTCATACGACTGTGTAACAGAACTAAATATTTATGAATAGATCGCAAAATAGTTGTAGTAGTCTAACCCTTTCTCATGTCATCTTATGGCTAGTTTCGCTCTAAGCAAGCAGTTTGAAGCAAAACTCTGGGTACAAGACTTCTTCAAAATCGAATTCTGAAACCCGTAACGAGAGCACCTTTTAAAATTGTCTTTTTCTAGTTTTTAGATATTAGAGAGAAATTTGAGCCAAATAACTAAGAAGATATCGCAGAATCTCATTATAGTATGGGAGTACGTTGTACTCGGTTACAAAGTTTGATAAAGATGTTGAATATGCAAGAAACTCATTGAACATTAATCAAACTGTTTCAAATGATAACATACAGAGGGTCGACTGTCCCTCTCTTATTGCTTGTTGCTATTACTAGAAACTGCATTAAACTATTCCACTAAAGCAATGAAAATTTATGAGAAAATTTTACCCCACGGTAATGACGAAGTTATTGTACAACTCTGCTTCAACATGGGAGATTGTTACTCAAAATTAAAAAATTATAGTCTAGGGTTAAACTAGTACAACTATTTTGCGATCTATTCATAAATATTTAGTTCTGTTACACAGTCGTATGACAGTTATTTATCCGAAAAAAACTAATTATCAAAAAGCTAGTGAACATAGTACAAAGTCGTTAGAAATATGTGAACAAGTAGCACCGCCTGGAAGTTCTTCAATTGATAAGCGTCTTGAAGATGTTGCAATACCTCGCAATTAGTTCACACATTCTCTTCGAAAGAAAGCAGTACAGTATATGAGGAACATATGAGTCCTACCGACTAGACTAACAGCTGAGAATAACAAGAAGGCTTAAAATTATAGTTGGAGGTGATTCATCAAGGTATTTTTTAATTTTTTCAGGTTTAGTGTTGACGTTAAGTCATTCGGTAACAAGTTATACTCTCTAGGAGTATTCCAGAAAAGAACGAACGAACAACAGAAAAGGATGAAAAAGGTATTTGCACAGTAGCTGTAAGAATTAAATGAGTATTATAAGTAAAATCGTATAGTATAATATACAATGACGCATCCAAAAGAGATAGGTTTTTGCGAATAGAATGGAATTTAGTTAAGCGAAAAAGTTGGTGTCTCTTCTTCAAGTCCGGTAGATCACACTTTAATACAAGAGCTGGGCTAATGTCGCAATAGTTGAAGTTTCTAGAGATTATACGTTCTGCGAATCGTTGGACACTTTCTAAGGGTTGCAGATGGGTAGAAAAATCGGAATCAAATACTGCACTACCGTAGTCCATCTTAGGTAGTACGCATATTTTGTAAAGTAGCTGACGTACAAACGATGGCGCATCTCGAAAAACTCTAAACTCATCAAAAAAAATAGTAGGGTTACGAAAGCCCTGTAAATCTCAATGCGAAAGTCCTGTAAATTTTAGGCGTTCAGTGCGAAATTCCAGTGTGTTTTTTATATGAAAGTCCTACAGGATAGAAAAAGCAGGGTTTTCGTAATACGAAGGCCCTATAATTTTTACAGGATGAACCGATATGCTATCCGTCAATAGACGTCTATAATGATGAAAAAATTTATAAAGACTATATAGAAACAATTAAAAATGACAAAATATTGTTGATTATATCCGGTAGAAGGTTTTACTTTCCGATTAAAAAGTAAATCGAAAACTACTTTTAGTAATACCCGAAAATAAAGTAAACATTTCTGATCAAAAAAATGGGATATCTCCCAGCTATGAATAATATTATGAGTTATGAGAGTTTTGCTGGAAGTCCCAAAACTCGCAATCAGATACTGGCACCACCATATCTCGAGAACGACTTTTACCGTAACACCATTTCGTAGCTCCCAGATTTCTCGGTAACGAAACATCGCAGAGAGCTCGGGAAGGTCTTAAATTGAATCTGACACATGTGGCTAGAGGCTAATGGAGCCCGATTTCTGATATTCAGTCTAGATTCGTGTATAACAAAAACGTAGTAGAACCTTTAGTCATAATTTTAAAATGTCATTCGCTTCTGTACATTCCGTTAGCGTATAAATCAGCCAAAAGAAATTGTAGAATTATTTCTTTAATGCTTGCAAATTTTGTTTCATTTGTAGATTTTTATCAATGATAAACAATTATCAAGCTCATTGGTCAGAAGAAGGTAAGATTATATATATTTAATTTTCTGTTAATTTTATTGGAAAAACAAAATATTTTTGGTGTTTTTTTTGTTATATACATTTAGGAGCTACATCCATCAGCATAAACAACCAATCAACAATGACTGCTACTAGTACTGCAGTAATGATAACAACAACAAGAATTGTTGACGCAACGATGATGAATACAGCAACTATAACAAGTACGTTTATAAAATGGAAGAACAAAGTTTATTCTTGCCAAAACCTGATAATAGTTTTTTCTACTTTTGTAACAAATGAAGCGAGCAAATAAAATTGATCACGTATTTGATAGTTTAAATAAAATTTCCACCTTGAAAACCTAACTCTTTTTTGTTTCAAGTCCAAACAGCAATAGGCGGTAGTTTCTATAACGGTGGTCGTCAATGGAATCCGACAGGCGTAAGAGTTGCTGGTTCATCAATTGTATTGTGCATACTTCTGATTTGAAGTCATCATTAAAATATTTAAGTGATCCGATGGATTTGGTTAGCGATCGGTTTTCTAACATTTTTGTTAGTGATATTGCAAACAACCGCGTTGTTAAATGGTCTCAGAATTCTACACAAAGGTACGTAATTTCTGTAATGTTATAATAGATGGGTATTTTTCTGACGAATTGTACTGGCCAAGTGGTTTATATTTGGATGGTAAAAATCAACAATTATATGTTGGTGATACAATCAATTACCGTATACAAAAATTTTCATTAAATCAAACATCACAATTATCGATAAAATTATAGAGCTTTCGAATCAGGAACGATTCATCATCAAGTACAGAAAATTTTGATAAAACACAAGTTAACAAGAGATTTGTACAGAAGCGAATGACATTTTAAAATTATGACTAAAGATTCTACTACCGTTTTTGTTAAATATATAGTATATGAAAACTGTTGTTTCTCATTACAATGAATACTCAAGCTGCTATAAGCGGAATTAAGACATTCTTTTGACTGTAACACTAGGGGTCTACATCCAAGTCTATTTGTTGAGTTGAGTTCGATGAAGGTTGCATATATTCAGCGGCATAACCAGGATTTTTAGACCAAACAAAGTTCTATTGTGTCGAAAAAAACCGATGGACAAGGACCACAAACTTTTTGGTCCAACAAAGCAGTGGTGGGCCAGGACTTTTTTTGTATATAGCTAGGATCTCGCTTCTTGCAGAAACTTGAATGAAATGATATGACGTTCTTTTAATCAAATATGCATCAAACTCAAATATTAAGCCTAAGTCAGATGTGTTTTAGTTTTTAATCTGCAAAGAGTGCATGTGGGATTCAGACGGAAGAAAAAAATTACATTTACTATCTAATTCAAAAATAAACAAACAATTCTGAAGAAGTAAAATTTCAATGGGCAAAAACTTACTAATAAAAACTACAACGGGCAAATCTCCAAATGAAATGGGCAATTGCCCATTTGTCCCCGCCCCCCTGGTTACGCCGCTGCATAAATTTATTCGGAAAGATCGAAACAAATTTTGAATGTCGAAAAATATGTTCTGGAAGTTTTTTAGCTACCTCGATCTTCTGTCTACACTACGTGAAAAAGAAATTTAGCTTAAAGAAATAAAATGATGTAAATAATTGATATTCACTTACATCAGTACTTAGATTTTCTTCATTTGTTGCCTTTTGTGATGGCTGAACTTGATTTTGTTGTACATGGCAAAATTTTCTCTTAATCAACGGTAAAATGTAAAGACAAAATGGTATAACTGAATGTGGTATTAATATTCCTAAAACTGTTGTAAGACCGCCGACCAAATCTAGAATTGTTGTTATTGTATAGATAAAATCGAATTTTTTAAGATAAGTATAGGAACACTCTATTGTTGACATTTTTTAAAATATTGATCAAATGAAACAGTTAGACTCCATTTTTCAGTCATTAACTGATCTAAACTAGTTTGAATTTTTGTTGTTGGTTCATATTGACTCGTGATGTTGAATTCATCTGGATTTAAAAGACCGTTTAATTTTGTAAAACATTGTTGAGAATAAAAGCACTCCAAAGTTGACTGTAATACAGCTTCTAATATGTAACATCCAAAATAGAAAGATGGAATACTTATAAAATATCCTTCAATTAAATAATCGTATAATTTTGCTTGTGTTACACATTTATCTGTATCTCCAGAAATAATTAATTTAGGGCTCTTCTTATAAATTCTATAACTTTGCAAAGAAAGGTCGCGTAGAGCTGGGGGATGTTTCATTTTAATCAGAAATTTGCGCGCTACAATGCTGCATTGTTAAGAAAGGTTTGGGTTATTCTTTGGGGTTTCTGAAGAACTGGTTTTCCAGAAGAATGAATCTTCGAAGAGCTACGGGGAAGTCCCATGGTTATATTCGGAATCAGCATGGTCAATAACCTATAACCCACTAGATGTCGATTAAAAAGCGATTTATCACCTCGGGAGGTTCCTTCGTGAGTGCTCGAGCGATCTACTCTCATAAATTTTACATGTGCACACTCATTATTAATACCACATGGATTTTTATTGTCGTCATATTCATTAGATCGTTAATGAATGAAAATACTACATAAAATGAGTTTTTATCTGTATGTACGGGAGATTTTTAGAAATGAATGTCCAGACATGTACCCAACTCTTGCGCGTACCGCCAATTAGAGATTTCGAAATATGATTAACTCTCGTTCCTAAAAACGCTTTTGGCTTAATAAAAAGTCCTTCACGTTTTTTACGCATAATACACTGATGCAGTACACAGTGGATTGTGTATTATCGAGGTTTTTATGTACCAACACTGCTTAGTGCTAACACTACCAGCAAATAAAAAATATAAAAGATGACTTTTGTGAAATAATTTTCGACCGTACTCTATAATGATACCACGCTTGAGCTGCACGAACGCTTTAATCGGCCGAGGAATGAGTAGTTTATGACATCAGTAAGTGTAGAAAACAGACTAAGAGCGACACGATGCATTTCAAAGAAACAGAATTTGAGGCCAAATGTAGAGAAACATTATTCTAAAGATTAGAAACAAATTTTTTGACGAACGGTTCAAATAAGATTTCAAAAGTTGTTGAGAAAACGAGATCCGGACGTATTTGTTAGCTGATGCCGTGGTGTTTAACAATATTTAGCGGTATACGTGAAAGAAGTTAGAGTCCGGTATGTGTCTTAGTTTCATGTATTAATTTTCATGTACGGGGCTAAACTAGCGCCGCTGATGACCCGAACTTTGAAACTACGCGTCATTTAATAAAAAAACTTTTTGTACGGTGTCGGAAATTAAAAATTTGAGCAGTTAGTTTTTTTTCGTTTTTTAACCATAGTTGGATAGAGCTCATCGAGTTGCCTAACTTAGAAAAAACTTAATTTTAGATTTTTAAAAGCGGATTTTGGGTGGAAAAAATTAAAAACGCTTACGTTTAGAAAAGAGCCAAAAAAGCGGGAAATTTTGAAAAAGATGTAAAATTCTTTCTTTTATTCTTTTTCTAAAATTTCAAAACTATTTATTTCTGCTTCTGTATACAAAACCACGTGAAAAAGACCTACTATTGGCTCCAAAAAACAAGGTAGGCAGTTACTTCTTGAATAACTTTTGGCAGGAATGAGGTAGAAACCTGCCGTTTTCGGTATTTGATAGCCAACACTTGTGCACATCTTTACACAAGCAAAAGTAATTTTTGAAATAATTTCAAAGATCGGATTTTCAGAGGATCTTTGGGAAACCAGGTCGTTGCTCCCAGAAGTGACATAGAAATATGCTGCTGTTTTCGTTGGATTTATAATACGAGCTGTCCTGTACAAAACTGGATCTAAGTCACATCTTCAAAATCCGCGGTTCGAGCCTGACAAGGCTTTTCTGCAAAGCTCTGGTACTGCCTTTCTATCAGGACAGGGACCAGTAAAAACGATTGCAAACATAGGTTTTCGACTATAGTGAACTTTGTGATAATGTTAGTTTTCAGAACAAAATGCAATACCCGAGTGAAAACCTATACTAGATGAAATAACCCATTTTTGATTATGTCATCAAAAATTAAATTCATAAATCAATCAAAATCCATCCAACCTACTTCAGAATCTCAGGAAATACTCTGCTTTATCCGCTCATTCTGATTCTGTACGTTAAAAAAATAATAAGCATTCTCCTGGTTTGCCAAAGATCCTCTGAAAATCCGGAAAATCTTAAAAACTCGGTCTTTGTAGCAAAGGTTTTCTGGAAACCCTCTAGAAACCCTGCTTGAACCTTGAATAGATGTCTGTTGCATTCTACGTGTTTTTTTACCTATTAGAAGTATTTCCAAAGTCAAAATCACATATATTCGAATTCAGCTCGACGAGACGGATTCAACCATGTATAATTAAGCTAGAAATAAAATGGCGTGGAAGTTTTGAATTGCGCGCACCTTATTTTGCGATTTTCACCACCAAGCTTCAGTTTCATGTAAAACTAAAGTCGTTTTCAGAATGAGCAGCAAAAGCTGAGTCGAATGATGTATGTTTAAAAGATTTGAGACGAATCTGACTTTTTCCGAATTCCTTATTATATTACTGAAAAACTTCGAAAAAAATTAAATTCGTCTAAAACCTCTTAAACACATATCATTCGACTCAGCTTTTGGTAACGTTTATGTGTGATTCACTTCTCCTGACTCTGATCCACTGAACCTGTGTCTTCGCCGAGCAAGTACTTAACACAACTGATTTACGAAGAGTTAGCGCTCTTTCTAAATATACGAGTCTAAAACGTTTATAAAGATTCACCTTATACTGCACAAGCGTTATCGATCAAGAGAATCTCTCATAGAGGACGCCCATAACCATTGCCTGCTACGTCATGGTCAATAATCTACTTTGGATAAATTTCATCTCTAAGGTCCCTCTCCTCTACTGTCTGATATTTTAAAAAAAAAGAAAAGTATGTTCAATTATCATTGTTTTTCTTATCTTACCATTATTGTTTGGGGATGATGGTGATGACAGTTTTGACTTCTTTCTGCTTATTAATTTAACTAGATTTGGTACTAAAATTCTTAAAATTTTTGTAAGATCATCAATCAATGCAATCAATGTTGATATAGCATATACCACGTCAACTGATCTAACATAACGATACCGACATTGTTTTGGTTGACATTCATCGTAATAGCTACTATATGAAACCGTTTTTGACCGTTGTTCAATCATTAATTGATAAACTAATTCTTGTATTATTGTCGTTGGTTGATATTGACTTGATTGTTGTAAATCAAGTGGTGTTATATTGAGAAAACTTGTTGGCAAAGCAGTTATTACATGGCTTTGGATTGTTACTCGCCGGACCAAAAGAATGAGAACAGGAACTGACATTTAGGTCGATTTTTCTTTTCTCTGTGATTTAATTGGAATTTTTTTATCATCTAGTATAATAACAATAAAAATATCTCTCGACATTTTCCCAATCGATCTTTTCCTTTCGATTTTTCCTGCTGACCATCTTTCCAATTCGACATCATGTCTTTCGGTGTTTTCTATGTATATGTTTTCCTCTTCGACGTTTTCCTACTTTTTTTTCGACATTTTCACTTTCTGCGTTTAACACCAAACCCGGCAAATCTTCCGGTTTTGGGTCCTTCCCTAGACTCGCCAAAAATCCAGTCCTGCCTCAAATGACTTGAAACTACTTTCCTAGGATCAGTTTTTCAAGGCGAATCTAACGATGAAACTTGCAGGGATCTCTTGTGAAGTGCGCCGAAATGGTGCGCGTTTCACGTGAAGGACGCATTTTTTGACGTTTTTGACCTGTTTTAGTATTTTGCGAATTTGAAAATGAAGACATGGGTTTTTTAGATTCCGAGTACACCATTAAACTCAGGACACTTTTTTCTATCAGAATATGTGAAAAAGAGCCAATTCTGAGATAGTGCTTGAACTTGGACTTACGCACGCCTTAGTTGTATGCAGAAAGAATATAGTTTTGTTACAAATTGGATTAAACACCATCATATTTTCTTCGTTTTTTTGTTTCCAAGAAAATCTGCTTTCCTCCGAAATCCCGTGGTGTAAACGCTGAACTCTTCGTAGCAAAACGCCCACGTTCGCTGAGTGTACATTACTCCTAAAGTTTGACGTTCAGGTTTTAATTAATTGCTCAGGTCATGACAATGAATCAGTATGTTTTACTCTTAAGTTTAACGGAGCCTCAGATCGTTTTGTATGTCAAAACTTGCGTATTTTACACAAATCAGATAATTACTCTCATTTTTAAAATTGTTCGCTTTACTCCGAAATCGATGAACCGCCTGCTGCTTCTTGTACTTTGTGGCGTCCCTGCATACAATATTAAAAAAATTTATAATAATATTAAAATTCTTAATATGTTGGCCACAACTATTCTTAATATTTTTATGCTCTCCACAACTAGGTGCGACGGAAGAACGACAGAATGACTTCAGTTCAGGCTCGTTTGTCTTCATTTCCACATACTCTTATCTTTATCAACATACACCAGGTGCACGGATTGTTGATCTCAACTCAGAGCAAAAACTTTTCCGATTTGGAAGTAAAATATTTCAAAAAGCAGGGGGAGGATCCTTATTTTTTCTTAACGGAAGATTTTTATTCTTAACGTTGGCCATTGATTCACAAAATGTTATTGATTGTCGAGAGAAAAATCGTTGCTTTTATATATTTATTTTATTTCGCTTCTTGTATCTTCCATTTCGTATGAATAAGCACACGCTGGTTGTATCACTGGAGAGGAAATCAATATATGTCTTAGAGAAAAGAAAAGAAAAATAGGCGGTTAAGATTAAGAAAAGGTTGTAAGTAGTCATAATATATTTTTAAATCTGCTGTAGGCAGCAAGTTACGATATATGGGACAGAAATTAACTATTTTATTTAAATTTTTTTGCTGTAGAAGGTCACAATAATAAAAGTGGTCGAAATGTTTATTTAAATAAATTTTCGGAACCGAAATATCTACTTGTAACTCTAATAATCTATCTATTTCGTATTAGCCAATTCTAACTTTGAAAAAAGATTTTTATACGATTGATACAGGTGTTTCAACACATACTCCATTTTGTTTGCCGTATATCTTGTATTTCAGCAAAAGTTTTAGAAAGCACCCACTGAAAAAAAATTTACGAATTCCTGCGTTGACACACAGGAATCTGAGAAAATCCTGTGAATGTTTGATATATACTGCAGGTTTTTACATCACGTTACCGCGCTGAAAATTTTCCTGCAAGTTGATGAGTATAACTGAACAGAATTCTTTAACATGCTCAGTTTTCAAGTTTCTTTTCTGCAGGATCCTGGAGGATTCTTCTCTAGACACACCATGCAGGAACTTTTACATGCCTTCATGCGATATATCTCGCAGATCCTTCACTTTGCATACGCAACGACAGGACAAAGACCTTGGTCCTCTTATTTCTTTCATTCAAGATGATATTCGTCCTGCTGATTTTCCTTCGAAAAATAGAGGGACAGGCTAAAGTTCACCGAGTAATCGACAGAAAATTATATCGGACCCGCAAAATAGAAGAAGATTCACCTTTGAAAAATAATCTTAGCTCGCATCTTTTAGTTATTCCAAAATCTAAGCGGACAAAACTTCTTCGGTTGGCTCATGACCATCCAATTTCAGGTCATCTTGGCCATCGAAAAACTCTACATCGATTAGCAATTCGCTTTCGTTGGGTCCGAATGAGGCGTGGCGTTGCGCATTATGTAAGATCCTGTGACCTTTGTCAGCGTTTCAAAGCCGCAAACAAAAAGAAAGCAGGTTTAATGCAATCTCACGTAGTTCAATCGCCTTGGCACACTATCGGAGTTGATTTAACTGATCCTTTACCTAAAACTCCGCGCAGGAATGCCTACATACTAGTAATAGTCGATTATTTCACGAAATGGTTCGAATTTTCTCCTCTAGGCACCATTAAATCGAGAAATATCGCTCAACTACTGCATGACGAAGTCATTTGCCGTCATGGCATTCCCGTTAAAATTGTTTCCGATAACGGTGCACAATTTGTTGCCGACGTTTTTCGAGAAACGTTAAAGATCATGGGTATCCGGCATCGAACGACCGCTCTTTATCATCCTCAATCAAATTTATCTGAGCGTGTCAATCGGACATTAAAGCCCATGTTGGCTATTTTTGCCGAACACGATAAAGAATCTTGAGATATACGGTTGCCGCAACTAGCACTGGCCATCAGAGTGGACATAAATGAATCTACTGGTCACAGTCCAGCATTTTAATGTATGGTCGAGAGCTGAAACTACCACTCGATCTCATGTACGGTACCGAAACGGATGTTCTTGATGAGTTAAAATCATCTGAGGAAGTCCTGGTCTACACTGAACGACTTAAAGCTATTCTTGCCTCTGCACATCAGCCGACCAGAGAAAATTTGGAAATTGCTCAACAAGGACAAAAGTTCCTTTATGATCGACATCGTAAAGATGTCCAATTTAAAGAAGGTGACCTTGTTTTGATCGCTAACACCTCAGGATCAGCCTTAGGCAAATGGGCCCTTCCTAAACTGGCTCCTAAATGGATCGGTCCTTTTCGAATTTCACGCAAGATTGGTCCTCTAGACTATGAACTGTTTTCTTTAGAGGATGGTGCGGTTCTTTCGTCTATTCACGTCGAAAGACTGAAGCCGTATCACCGTTCATCGTCAATTCTGGTTCCAAATGCATAAGAGAACTAATTTGAGCCTCTCACTGTACATATACTTATATTCTATAGCTGTGCTCTTCTTCTTGCTAAATTTTGCTCCTTCGTGTTGTATTGCAGTGTGCGATATCGCTAACTGTTTCAGTTGCATTGTGCAACATCGTCTCACCATTCTACTTCTCATTTTATTACGTATTACGTTACTTTGTACGAGTTCGAAAATTCTCTTACAAAACTTCTTATCCACGAGAATACTCAGTCTTCATTATTTCCTTCCTCTACTGCTGGATTATAGCAGTATCATAACGACATCAGCTGTCTAGCAGAACGATTTGTAATGGCATAAATGAATAGAAGGGATGGAGAAGAAACAGAGAACGTGCATTTCCTACAGAATGAAAGCCTAATACATATCCAGCACCAGTTACGTTTTACCGTAACTTGCATTGTATAAAATATAATGAGAATGAAAAGAAGAATTAAAAAGATTAAACGTTCTGTTTATAGTTATGACGTTAGAGTTCTCATTCGTTTTAGAAGATAGCTAGTTCATGTTTTCTTCTTGAACAACCAGTCTCAGGAATTCCTAGTTTTCCTGGTCTTCATGCTCAAGCGTGGAGCCACAATGTTCTTAGTGGAGAGAGAAAACAAATATTTTTCAAGTTTTTTCAGGTTTTATTCAACAAATATCTCAGCTAAACGTTCGTGTTCGATTTTCGATTGACTTTTCTTCGCAAAACGTTTGAAGAACACAGTTTACCTACTAACCTTTATTAAAAAAAAAGAGTTTTAGTATGTATACAAGTGCAAAACTATGTACACGTAAAAAAAAGCTTTTAGTTCTCCTCGAGTCTTTTTTCTCTCTTCCTGTGCTGACAGACCTTTTGCCTGACAGCTGCGTTGTTGATGGTGCCTGCATCCCATGGTGGAAGTCATACACCATGTCAAAACTCACTTTGTATCCGCAGCTGACATCCTGGCTCGCTGCCACCACCATTAGGCCTGGTTTTGGAGTAGGCCACGTATCACTTGTGGCAAGCTGTATTCTGCATTCAGCCACCCAGGGCCTATCATCTAGCCTTTGAGTGACATGCAATGCCAGTCTTTGATTATTATCGAAACCTGGATATGATTTGATGACGATGATGCAGCTTTTTTCCAACTGACCAACCCAGGATCCCAAATTAAAAGCTCTTTCTAATTTCTCATCGATGGACCATCTGCCGAAGATGTTACGGCGTTCATCACCTGATGTTTCGGTTATTTCTGCTTTTGCAGGTGGTAAAGGTACACGACTGTCCATCTTTAATTATTGATTTAATTACTGACTTTTATATTTTTTATTACTTATTTGTTTGAGAGGGTTTGGAGTGATGATGATGATGATGACAAATTTAAATTTATCAGAATTATTGTCAATGGATTCACAAAACTAGTTTCTTTTGAAATGCGCGAAATTCTCAAACCTTCAAAATTCTACGTTCTTGTCACTGAAAAAATTTCTGTTATGCTGTTACTATTCAGGATTAGGATTTTCTGTTGTAACTGAAATGGTTACGCTATTTTAACGTAATTCAAATAGTTACTCTACTTAGGCATGAGTCATCGAACGGTACATCTGAAATTCTCCTTTCTTAAAATCAGCAAATGGTTGAAATCAATTGCTATTCTGACTGAGGGAGTACTCTTAGATCTAAGAACAAAAAAAATAGTACAGCCTTTATCTAGGCTAGGTAGTCTTTTTTTCCTTTTTCTTGTTAGCTTTCTCTTCTCAAATCTGTATCAAAATAGCATAGCGGCAGTCATTCTATTCCTTTTGTTCGCCTCATGAATATGGAGTTTTCTCGATTAAACTTTCAATTTATATTAAAAAAATAAACAATCTACACAAGCACACAAAAAACAACAACAATAACTGAGACAAAGAAAACCAAGGGAGAAAGCGAGAAAAGAATAGGAAACCTAACAAAAACAAAATATCAATTATTAAAATAATAAACAAAAATCAAAAAAATAAACATAAGTAAAAGACTAAATATATGAGTCCGGAACGGAGTCTGTTTCTGCAAAGACGACTGACCCAGCAGTGGGTGGTGGCTTTTGGCCGAAGACCCGTGCGTTGGTGAACAGCTGCGTCTTTTGCACGAAGAGTATTGCTAAATACAATACTCTTCTTGACCAGCTGACACCACCGGTGGGTTTTTCGACCAAAACGAGTAGGCTACCACCACCCACTCATTCCAGAGCCACCCGTTGAACAATATTCAACATTCTCCTCTTATTCTCATCGTTGTCATTTATGTTGTCATGAACAATTGACAATGATGATGAACTTGTTGTTGTTTATTTTTTTTATTTTTATTTTTTTTATGACGCTGATGGTGGATGTTTTCTTTTTTAAATTTAATTTAAGTTAAATTCAATTTCCTTCAATTCAATTTAATTTTGGTTAATTTTATTTTATGTTATTTGTTTATTTATTTTTTTTTGATTTATTGACATTACGATGTTCTATAGTATTTGATCAGAAGACGAGATTTGACTTGTGTTTGAATTTTCATTTAAATGAGATAAACGATTAGGTGCCAATCCAGTTCGATTTCTTTGTAGTGGCGCCACTCATTTACTCTCGAATATCAAGCAGGAGAATTCGTTGGTCAGATTAAATCTGAATGGATTGAAAAACAACTGACCCATTATCTACCATTGAACGAAGCTGAAGAAAAAACGTTGAACGAAAAAAATATTCTTACAAAAGTGCGTCAATATTTTCCAAATGTTAATTTAAAATTAGACAACGATCACTTTCTCAGTTTTGATGGTCCCTCAGGATTGCTGCTGGAATGGATATACGTCAGCAACTGGTAGGTGAAGATAAAGTGCAACTGGAAAATCGTTGTGAACCGGACACGGCTGAATATGAAAATTTAACATGTAATTTAGAAAGTCTTTCAAAAATATTGTACATATTTAAGCCGATGATATTGCGTTATAAAGATCAGATTTTTTCTAACTGGAATTTTCCCTCTGTCTGGAATTAAACGATATGAGATTGTAGAGAAAGATGTGGCCTACAAACTGGAAACGGAATATTACTCTTGAAGACTAAAGATATTGTACATACAAATTTTAATAGATGGAAGACTGGGTCCATCTATTAAAATTTGTATGTATACCAAAATTGCAAAATTTGAAAGATGGGGCTAAAATTATTCAAGAATTGATTAAATCAATCGAAACAAGCTTTCGAGCGGAAAGTAAAAACTATTCAAAACCGTTGCCATTTGATCTGTGGTATGTGGATTTGAATGGGGACTTGATTTGTCTTACAAAGTCACCTCAAATGTTTGTCTATTTTTGCAAGACAGAAAATTTACCGTTAAAAATTTTCGACATAAATATTTCAATGCACCGACCTAAACATCTTCCTGCCCAATTTTTGGTAATTGTTAAAACGGTGACTTATGAAATATCAATTGATGATGTTGGAAACGAATTTTAACAAAATATTCATCTATTTTTGTTGTTGGAGAAATAGTGGAGAAATCTCAATTCACGGATTACTGCATGACGTCGACGAATATTTGCAAACTCCGAGACTTTTAATTTGTTCAAAATGTAACTAACCGGGTCATATTAAGAAGAACTGTCAAAGTCAAATTGAAATTTGTCGTCGATGCGGGGGAGACAGATAAAATGGAAACGATCACAAAGAATGTTTAATAAAATGTCATCATTGTATGAGCGCTGATCATCAGTCGACTGATTACAAATGTCTGAGAATTGCAGCGTATCGTAAACAACTCGTAATGGAATTAAGAAATCGAGCTGATTTATTGCCTCCTCACATTCAGATGTTCATACCTGCGGAGTGTCGGCGTCACAATGAAAAGAAGACAAAAGCACTGTATAATCCAACACGGATCAACAATGTACGGGAACATCGTTCTCAACAGCAGAGTATGTATAAACGTAACGATTGTAATACGTGGCCACCGGTAAATTCGAATCAAACAACAGTTGGTTCAACAATAACAAATGGATCGAGTTGGGTTGTAATTAAACATCTACAAAGTGATTTTGAAAAAATGAAATTGGAACACGAAAGGAAATAAAATGAAATGAGAATAAAATATTTTGATCAAATGAATAAATTTAAAGCACTGGCGGTGTTGGGCAACATTCAAACGAAAACTCAAGATGAATTGATTAAGAATGTATACACTGTTGTTGAAGAAACTTTACCGGCAGTCAAAACAACTTTACAAATAGTGAATTTATTTCATCAATAATTACAGATCTAGACGAACAAGAAAACATGAAGAAGGTGTTTGAATTAATTGAATAAACAATCGCTCATTTAACTGACGTTCTGAAATGCTATCGACATATCAAGATTCATTACTGGTTCAATATGAAAAACATGAACAAGTAATCCGCGAAAGTATGAAAAAACACACATAAATATTTGTTTTTCTGTTTCAGCATCATATAACTAGGATAAAAACAAGAAAGAATAATAATATACAAATGAGATTTTCACAAAGTGGATTTTAAATGTTGGTATAAATAACCTTGAAAAATACCTATTAAAAGTAAAATAAAACCAGCCTACATAAACCAAAGATATTCAAAACGAAAGAATAATAGTGGGTTTTTCTCCAAAAAGAAAGATCTATTTATTTTGAAGATTCAAATTCTAAATAAATAATTGTGGAAATAATCTTAAACAGCATTTTTTGTTTCTTCACAAAAATAGCGACCTTACCTTATACTGAATCAGTGGTGCATCAAATGAATCAAACCATACAGGTATTTGAAAACTCTTATTTGATAGAACTGCATCTGTGAGGGTGTACTCTTTTCAAATTATATTTTCTTATTAAGTTGTTAAGCACTCGAAGCTGTGTCAATTCTACTTATTAACAATCATCACCAGTTTTTTCTTTAGCTCGACATTACACTTTGAAATCGCACCGGACATAAATTTCAAAATGAGTGAAAGAGTAAAGATCAGATTTTTTCTAATTGGAATTTTCCCTCTGTCTCGAATCAAACGATGTGAGATTGTAGAGAAAGATGTGGCCTACAAACTGGAAACGGAATATTACTCTTGAAGACTAAAGATATTGGACAAAATCCGTTTTCTCTTAGTATACGGCGCCAAAGACCAACCAACGTCGAAATGTAAGAGTTATATCCCGTAAACTATAGGAGACAAAAGGCTGGATTCGAGCACAGTAGTAGGCCTAGTGTAGATAAACAAAACACAAAAGAGGTTTTAAAATTGCTTCACAGCAAAAAAGATTATCCTCTTTTTACATGTAAGAAAATGAACGTTACTCATATATATGCAGAAGTAAAAAACTTAAATTTTAAATGTTCAAAAGCATTTTTATTCAAAACCGAGGTGATATTCGGAATCTACCGAAAAATCTGCATCGAACAATATATAATTTGATGCGTTTTGAAACGAAAGTCTTTCACCTAATGTTTAGGCAAAAACTGGAGTTGACGGTGGCGCCTCACTAATTATTTGTAAATTATTGATAAAAATCGGTGCGAGGGGAACTCCAAACTTTGCGGAAGATAATTTTTGGGCGTGGAGAGCAAGGGGGAAATAGCGGACTCCTGGAGTCCAAGGAGTCCAAGGTAGGTATGTGACAGCTCATTTCAGTTCAAATGAACTGAGCTGGTCGACCAGTTCATTGAGTTGTGAACTGGTATAAGTTCGTCCCAAAAACAGAACAAAAGTGGTGTGGTTATGGGAACGACTCCCAAAAAAGAACGCTTTTGCCCTTGGACTCCTGGATTTCAGAAGTCCATGGGAGTCCATAGGAGTCCAGTATTTCCCCCTTGGTATAGAGCCCGATTTTAATAGTTTAAAGCCTTAATTTCGTCCTTTTTGCGGAATCACTCATTTCATATGCAAAGAAACGAACAGCTTCAATTTCGTACACATTCTATACTTTTTCTTGGTCTTGGGCCAAGGTTTAACCCAACCGAATCTGGCAGTTTTTGATTATACTTAACTTAATACGCATTGTTTCAATAAATACGGGATTTAATAGAAAGAGGAATGAAAGACAATGTTTAAAACGAGCAAGAATTTCGATGATGGCCCGATAATTCGTGTTTTCATTCGATTAGAGGGATTCGCAGCTACACAATCGTGAGAAACTTTTTAGAAAAAGTGGTAGAAAAAAGGTAAAGAGAATGGGAGTACTATACTTGTTGACTTTTTCTCGTTTTACCAGAAGTATATATTACTAATCTACTTGAATATATGCCTGGATCCAAAAAAGATATATATTTATTTATCATGCAAGAAGATATCTTTTCCATATCTATATCTTCTGTGACTCGTACACTCTTCGACACAGAAAATGAAGAAAAAAAGAAAAATGTATATGTCTTAATTGCATAAAACTACTGCACCTATTGGCTCCATGTACACGCAATTTGCGTGTAGTAAGTACATCCTAAACAGAGAAAAGGAGGAAAGAAATACGTCGATGTCTTTTCTGCACGAAGTCTAAATTTTTATTAATTCTTTTATATTTTGTTGTATAGCTTAAATAGAGTTTTAGGTCATATAGGTTTATATGACCCATGTAGGTCTATATGACCTTATGACTTTACGAGTTGTGATGCCAGGCGAGAAAAAGTGCATTATTCGGAGTAGAGAAGAATGTCCCGAATATAATGGTGAAAAAATTAATTAATTTTCTTGTAAATTGATTGTGTTCGGTTGAATGAACCATAGTTACTTCGTTCAAAATAAGTACACATTTCCTAATATTCAAATGCATTGTAGAAACGGAGAAATTGAAAACACGATCGATTTCTGCGCCAAGAATACTCGATAGGAAAAAGCTTTCGGAACCACTTATGTTCTACTCACTTTACTCTATTTACCTGCAACGGTATACAGCCAGCTGTTTTTCCGTTCTTCAGATAATAATTATCCGAAGTGGCATATATTCTTCTTAATAAAGACGCTGCACCTATTAAGAAGGGCAGGCAAATTTTTGTTCCTAATAACAACAGGTTCTTTGATATATAAGTGCTAGAGTTTTCAGACAAACAAGTCTTCTTCCTACCTCAAATGCAAAATCAATCTCGACTCTTGGAACAAAAAAATGTTCGGCTCACTTTATCCGCCAAACTGACGGCAATTAAGATATAAGGAATGTTTTCTTCTTAACTTACAAGGGACTGATGTTTTCTGAACTAAACTATAGCATTCTGCTTTTTTCATGTGCAGTTGAACATTTTTGGAGCTTTTTTCATCACGTACATCCATTAATGAATAGGCTAAGTGTTGAGGAGATTTGTAGTTTAATATCATATTAAACCACGAATCTTCTTCGGATAATTTCACCATGTTTGATCGGCTTTTTCTTCGGGAGAAGGACGAAATTCATTTCAGGTTCAACTAGAAATTGAGCTCATAATAAGTGAATACACAGATATTTTATTAACATCTCTTAACTCTGTCTTTCAATTGCTATGTACTTACTGTGAAGTTACATGCAGCCTGTGATGTGATGTGAATATTGAGATCGATACTTTTCTATTTCGTATCTATGCTTTTTTACATATCAAACGAAAACGGTTTCTTACTAGTTACACGTTTTCTTTTCATCCGAATAACAAGTAGATATGGAGTCAATGGGCCTAATATGAACGGACTTTTTCTTTTTATGATCATAACATAACTTTTGGACAGATCTTATCTCGAAACATTTCGTACAAAATCTTTAGTGGAATGACGAATATCTTTTCACAGCAAATTTATATAATTTTTAAGCTGTGACGAGTACTCGAGTGGTTTTTCAGTAAAACATACATCTCGTAAATGCAAGTGCTCCAGTGAACTCTGAACGCATTAAAAGCTTCAGAAAGCTCAGGTGGTTCGATTCTAGTAACAAGTTTTATTTCAGTAATCTCGTTCACGCGGACTATGTACATTTTTTTGGGAATATCTCAGTAATCTGTCTGGAATCTTAGGAGAAGTACATCATGATTGTTCAGAGACTCGTAACGCTGACTTTTCTGAACATCTTTTGTCACATACATATGCTGTACTTCGACTAGCGTACACATATTTTTCCCTAGAGATGGGACGAAAGACGTAAGTTGCATAATAAGAGAACGAAAGAACATGTCTTATATCTTTTTCTTTTTGCTATTCTATTTTTTCCGATCAAAAACATGTTGATAGGAATCAAAACGAAAAGAAATGAATAGGAAAATGAAACTGATTATAGCGAAAGGAAATTAGAGGAGCTAACGTTAGTAATACGAAATTTCATTCGTTAGTTCTCAACGTTAGTTAATACGAAATTTCATTCTCTTTATTGCGATACATATTACGAAAATATAAACGGATGGCAACATGTTCTTTAAATGGAAAAAAAAACAGACTGTTCTACAACATGTTCTTTTCTTTTGTTAATTACTATACAAACAAGTCTTTCTCTTAGTCCAAAAGTTGAACGAAATGAGGAAATAAAAAGATATGTTCATTTCTTATAAACATGTCGGTAGTCTTTCGTCCCATCTCTATTTTTCGCTGACTTTCCTTAAAAAGTCCATATATTTGTATAGACGTGTTCTGAATAGAAACAAAATGCACGTCGTGTTCTTGTTTAGAAAAGGAAAGAATTAGAACGCGAATATACTTGTAATAATCCACAATACATGTACGAAAAAGTAATCTTTTCCTGCGAAAAGTTATATGATTCTACTCCACAGACTCTTGAGGGTATTTATATACAAAGTTTTGAAGGTTTCATTGAACTTTCTAAGCAACGCAAAAAACTTTTTCTTCAACTATATTGCAGACCTCCATGTATTTGTATGGACGTATTCTAAACACACGTTGTGTTCTCATTTGGAACAGAAAAACCGAAAATGTTTTCCACTTTTAGAAATAGCTTTCAAAAATCAGAAAACAGTTAATATGAAATTTTTCGTGTTTTAATTCCGGCTAATGACTCTGCCGAAGAAGAAATAAGGAAAAGAAACAGATACATATGTGCAAGATATAGAAATGTTTTTAAATATCGCTACTGATTCGGTTCGCCTCTAGTATAGAAGTATTGACTATTAGTTATCTTAAATATGATTTAACTTGTATGACTTCATACTTCAGCAAACAGTTAATTAACGTTTCTTTCTCCTTCACGAAAACACCATATCGTGCACTAAGCATAACGGTGAACTACAACGTGTATTCACGTTTTTTGACTACTACAAGGCATAAACGTACTGGAATAAGATTCTTCGATTATGCCCGGAACCAGTAGAATTATCATCATCATTGACTTTTGTTTTGTTTTATTTTTTCTGAATATGCTTGAATGAAAAGGATATTTTATATCATCTTTTTCGTTTTTTGTTTTTTTTGTATTTCAAGTGTCCACTTTCTCTAAACAGGCATAAATCAAATTATTATCGAAACTTTTTTTTGTTGTTGTTTGTCATATTCAAATGTACATTTTAAAAAAAAAGAAAAAAAATTATAATCATTTTTTTTCTCCTGCTACTGACTTTGCTTCTTTTTTTATTGTGGATACGTGTATCTAATAAAACTTGAAAAATAAAAAATGATCGAATATATAAAGAAATTTGTACCAATGTTTTGATGTTTTTCCTTTCTGCAATGAATCTGTAATCCAATAAGCGATTATTGGACTCTGAAACAACTCCATGAAACACTCATGAATTCCATCTCGCGATAATTACAAAATATCTCTGTATGTTAATGGTTGATGGTTAAGGTATAGTGAAGTATTTTCGTAAGAACTGGTACTCTTAACAGTGTAACTATGAATCGTAAAGTTGAAGACAAAAGAAAAAAGGAACAATATTACTAAAGACAAGTTTATCAGATTATCATTATCAGTGCAGGTAATCTTGTTTAATGCTCCAAAATTGAATATTCTAAGAATTGAAATTTCAGCCTTTATAAACCACTGTGTACATTAATACAGCAGTCTTTATAACGGATTTTCTTTTCCAAAATTAAGGTGCTTCTTAGATTATATACAATTGTTTATTTTTTATCTGTATCTAATCTGTATCTAATCCAATTTTAGATAAAAAATTATGTTTCAAGGTGATATAACGATGTCTGCTCCTATTATTAATGATGAACGAGTATTTACATTTCGCTCAAAAAGTCAATTGGAACGACAATCTCAGCCAATAAGATCAATTTTTGAAGTTCTATTAAGAATTGTTCCCCATCGTTTCACTTATAATCGTTGTTGCGGTTCAAGTATATGTATATCGTTTCAAAGTGATTCGCGTACGGGTAGTGATCGCTCAACTGTTAATCACTTTCAAAATAATACACCAAATAATGAAATTAGTGTATCGTCGTCAACTGTTGATAGAGAGTCAACTTTAAGCATCCGATCATTTATTGGAAAATCAAAAGAACGGGTAAGTTATAGAATTACAAAACGATAATTATATTCGAAAAGTGACGGGTAAACATATAAATAAAGATATGTTAACTTAACTTTTATTATTAAACAAATTGTTCATAACTATCTGTCAAAAGGTTATGATTTTTTTCAAAAGTAAAGTCAAAACATGATATGATGATTGATTTTCAATAGTCAAACTTGAAATTGTAACTTTCACTAAAAATATCCTAGTGAAAATTGCAATTTTAAAAATTCAATCAGAGAGAAATTTAGCTCTTCACTATTACAAGAATTTAAAATTCTACAAGGCGAACATTCTCTTTTCTTATAGTAATAATGGTTTAATTTGTACTACGGTAAGAATTCCAAACTGATTAGCTTAAAACACGCTGATGACGTCTGATGTTTCTGGTTTCTCTGAAATGACAATTAATCTAGTATTTCATTATTAGAAATTATCGTTTGATCAAATATGAGGTTAATATCAATCGGAAAATGCAAGTTTTTTACATCCAGTGAGAGGTAGTTCGTATTGTTTGTAAAATTATTCAGAATCTTAGGCTATCACATGCACGTACAACTCGTTTACAGTTGTTGTGAACAAAGATAGAACCGTCTTATCTTGTGTAGAGTTCTTTTTTCTATAAGACTATGTCCTTCAAGAAAATTTTACTTTTTATTTTCTGGTTGAAAACAGCTATTTAAAATCAGATTTTCAGTTAAAAATTTTAAGAGATCTGTTCCCGATTAAGATTAGCATAAAAAGTTTTCCTCAAATAAACCTGATCTATGCAGTTTTCTTTTTTTCGATTTCACGCAATTTATTTTAAAAGTAAAGCAAATGGTAAAGAGCACAACGTACTTCCTTCAGCACTGTTACAGTATCAATTAAGTGGACAATATAAGTATGCTACGTGGAGATAGAGGGGAAAGTGACAATAAGAAGAGTAAAGAAAGGTAAACGACAACTGATAAGCTAAGAGAGAAAGTACATGAAAGTAAAGTAAATTAAAAATAAGATAAAGAAGTGATGAACGACACATCCAAAACAAAAACAGAAGAAAATGCTGCTAAGATGTGTATAATTAAATAAGAAGAAAGTAGTCAGGTATGTTTTATAAAGCGTTCAAATATTTTTAATATAGGTTACCATCAATTTGTATATTTCTACTAAATCAATCTGTTGAATAATATTATCTTTGAGTAGGAGTAGTAAGGGAGGAGTAACAATCATATTTAGCAAAAAAGGGGCTATTTTACTAAATAAAATATTCCATTCATTTTGATAAGATGGGCAATGTGGTATGTAGTGTTCAATGGTCTCAATCTCTCCACACACACAAAAAGGATCATCTGTTAGGTTTCTTTTGTGCAAATCATATTTTAATTGTGTAAGATCCATGCAACAGCGACAATAGTTGATTTCACTCTTGCACTCTTCTGAAATGAGAAATTTTCGTATCTGTACTGTAATCATTTTATCGAATGGCATATTTGGATTAGGCTTGTAGCGCATTAAATTCTCTTTTGAATGTTATAAAAATAAAAGATTCATCTATTCGGGAAACGTCTAGAAAATTAGAAACAAGTAAGTGTATAGTTAATTATTCGTTTCTCAAAACAAGGATAACTTTAAAAAAATTCTTTTGAATACCAAGAGACCAATTTGAAAACGTGTACTTATATCCAAATGTAGTATAGACTCTACTGTATCTATTGATAAAACAATAATTTCTTTAGCAGCTTTCTTTCGTAAGAAAATGCGTTCGCAAAAATTCTTTCTTCTACTGTACGATCAATTTTTTGGCACGTTGTAGTTCTATTTGAATATTTTCCAATTTTGTTTACAGACCATAAAAAGATGAAAATACAAAACCCTAGTTTTTCTTCTACGTATAAAAGCTTATCTTGAAATCTAAACTGTGTAATATAGTGATGTACGTGTGGTACAAGACGTTGTAATTTTGAAATATAATAGGATTAACTAAAGTTTTAATTTCAGTCATAGAGAAATTGTATTCTTCCCTATTACAAGAATTTAAAATTCTACAAGGTGAACATTTTTATAGTAATAATAGTTTAATTTGTACTATGGTGAGAATTCCAAACTGATTAGCTTAAAACATGATGATAACGAGTCAAATTTGGACTAAACTTTTACAGTGAACATCGTTCTTAATCGATAAAAATACGAGAAAATAAAATCAGAAACGTCCATATCCTAACCTCTGCTGGTTACATCTGTTAGCAGATTACCACAATTTATTTTTCTTCATATCATTTCTGGGAACTGAAAACTATCATGAACGATGAGTAATGCCTATTTGAATCAAGTTCCTTCAACATGTTTTAACTTAACCTATATTTCCTAAAAGATTTGACATACAACACTTTTATTATTCTTTAATACACACCTTTTCAACTTAAGTAAAAGTTTAAATAGGGCAACAAAAAAAAGAAAAGATGCGAAAACAGAAATTAATCGCAGAAAAATATCTTTCGGCTTTCAAGATTTAAATTTTCTTTTTAAAAAGAGAAAGAAAACTTCACACCTTTGACGTCATAGTGTGCTTTCTAAGGGGAAGAAAAAAAGATGTCCTTTACTGCAGTTTCAAAATTTTTTTTATTCCATCATCATAGGAAGTTCCAACAGCTCTTATTTTTCTCTCTCGCTTTTTCTCGTTTTAGCCTATTATTCGAACATATTTGTATAAGAAATTTCGTCGTGGTGCCAATTTAATTTTATTTTGTGTTTATTGATGTAAAATAGCTCATAAAAAGTGAGTATCTGTTTCTTCTTCTTCTATTCTTTCCTACATTCACTAAGAAGAGAGCATTCAAAGATTAAATTTCATCAAAGAATAATTGTTACTAAAAGTACATGCCCGATGAAACAATCAAATATTTTTAGAAATAATGCAAAATCTGTGGAATATCAGTTGTTTTTACAAGCAGTTGATACAAGTGGATCGACAGAAAAATACATGTTCGATAAATCATATTACAAAACATTATCGGTAGGTAATGGAGAAGTAATGTTCATCTGTCGATTCACTACAGCACCACTGATTGAAACGGGAGAATTAAGACGCGATTTGTTGTCTGAAATCTATTGATCGTTAAGATAAAGGCAGAGTAGTATGAGTAAGATCATTTAAGATTTTCTGAACTGTATGCTGTATGAGTCAGATGATCTTTTAACCTAGCCGGATACCACACGGACATTGCATCTTGTAATTGAGTAAAAACGCAGAGAACACCTAAAATCGTTTAGAGATTATCGAAAGCATAAATTCCTCCTAAAAAATCATACATTTCTCACTAAGTTCCGTCGGTTAAATAACACAATGAACCGAAAGTATCAAGATATTCCTTCTATAACTGGAGCTGTGTACTGAAGAACTGAAACGATTACTAATAAGTATTAACAGATAAGAGCAGTAAAATTAATATATTAGTAACATTAGTAACACGTTATATTGCGGCTAGAACTGTCAATTACAACACCTGTATATTGACAATAGAGATGTGCAACCCGACCCTACTTGAAGGGTGGGTACGGGTACAGGTTCCGTTTTTTATTTATTTACCCGAAAACCGGACGGTTTTAGTGGAAAACCACAAAATATTGGCGGGAAAAAACGCGAGCTTTTAGCTGAAATACATGAAGTTTTAAACAACAGTTACTTAAGAATGTAATGATAATTTGTCATCTTCAGCCGAAAAACAAAAATTTCTAACTGGAAAACGAAAAGGGTAAAATGTTGAGGCCTAAGTCGGGTACGGATACAAAGTTCTCGGATAGGGTCGGGTATGGATGGAAAAAAATTTTCGGGTCACGTACGGGTACGAAAACGTTACTCATGCCCCTCTCTAATTGACAACTTCTTTAATCGATTGCTTCTTTTCTTTTCAGATCGACATTTTACCTATTGTGAGAGATTTTTTTAAACAACCATTGGATAATAGAAATTTAGAGAATGCAGCAAAGGTAAGACATATCAGATCATTCATATTTCATGTTAAAAATCATAAAACCTTTGAAGGGGTCTCGCAAAGGGCGAATCTCAGGTAAAACATGCCAATTAATCTGTTGTCTGTCCAAAAATTCAACCATCATGGTCATTTTCTGAATTACTTCAGATAGGTGAGCCAGTGGCGGATTAAGAATTTTTCTAAGGTACATGCGATGGGTAAGTAAAGTATGAAGTGCGTGCGGTTGCCATAGAAACACAATTTTTTGAGGCAGGGCCACTGAGCAAAAATCTATTTTTTGCTGCAAAAATACCAGACGCTCGTACCACTCGCTGCATCCGTCAGTCAGCAGAGAGCTAGAGCTATGTGATGTTTGACATTCGAGAGAGGAAATTTGAGCGTATTTTTTTTAAGAGGCAAAATTTTAAAAATCTTTTTGTAAGTAGGTCAGCCCTATAAATAAAAATCATCCGACCTCTTCATTTTTTGTCGTTTAGGCTGAAAAACTCGTCCTTCAGTACTCTGTTTTAGTTACTTCATTCGTTACTAAGTCTTACTATGCCTCACAAGCAACCGGAAGCAGCAGTAGTTGCCACCTTTTAGGAATGTAAGATATGTACTCTTTTGAATCGTCTAACGGACGACATTTGTGCAGTTTGTCGACAGGGAATAAAACCGGGTTCAACAAGCGAGCTATCAAAAACTGAGTCAAAGCAACGTCACCACGCTTTTGTGGAAGATAACAACAACAACATGGATAATCTTCCGCCGTACGTGAACAATAATAACGACCAAAGACGTAGTACTGCAACTGAAAGAGCAACAGATAATTGGATTTGTATCACTTGTTCTTATGGCAATCCCTTATATACGGAACAATGCCAGATGTCTAATGCTGATCATGTAGGACCAAGAACCACAGTCGATATGTCGTCTTTTACTTCTCCTACCACAATAGTACAAAAATCTACTTTCGTATCACAAACAAGTAAAACAAAATCACCACAGCTAGAAGAGGAAAATGATATTATGGATTACCAACCAGCTCTTTCTCCACACGTCAGAACAAAGCATTCAGCTCAAAATGAATGGAGCTGTAGCGAATGTACATTTTTAAATGCAAACGACGATGAATATTGTTCTATATGTAATAAAGGAATCCGACCGAATTCCGGCCATCAAATAATTGTATCAGGAGTAAAATGTAATACGAAAATCGGTATTGGCACAATACATTTGAAAAATGGTCAAGATAAGCACAATTTGTTAAATAAAATCAGAACTACTCATTTATGTTCGGGAGAGGCAACAACTATAGTTAGATTTGTTAACGAAATTGAATTATCGTCTTATCTAGTGTTGGATAATCAACAGCAACAGTTACCAACGACGACTGAAATAAGCAGAAGATGGGTCGAAGTATTGAATAATCAGAATAATAAACAGCCAATATTCCAGATACTATCAAAACAGTTTCCAAATATTATTCGTGTTACCTCATACTCAATCGAAGAATTATTGATAGCCATGAATATTGGTGTTTTCCAGATACAAGGACAAATAGCTACAATTTATGCTAATTGCAATTGCAGCTACTTCGAAGATTTAAAAGCCCAGAATATTAATTCAGATATGTTATTCTGTTGTATTGCAACCCAACTAAATATGTCCGAACAAGAACGGATGCAAAATGCCACTGAATGTAAACAAAAAGCCAGTGATTTATATATAATGTTACAAGAACAACGTTCGAGTATCGATACTAATTTAAAACAGCTAAAATCTTCTTTTTATACACAAATTAATTCTGAATCTAACATGGCTATTATTTTAGCTTCTTATCAAGAGCCAAGCATACAAAAATGGGTCAGGATAAATCATATTAATGTTTTAGGACATTTAGCACGTAAAGTTGAACAACTTTCATTACGCTTGGTTGTTAAACCGATACCCAAAGAAATGACTATGCGAACACTTACTTCGCAAAGCATATTTAACAACAGCGTTAAAAAAAACAGATCAAATCGGCGCTCAAGCTGTACTTGAGCTAACTGATAAGTCTGTCTTCGATAACTGTTTAACACGAGGCGCTATACGAGTTTCTGTTGATGGTGAATACGTCAAATTACAGTTGTTACTCTACAGCCCAAAAATAATTGATCCGACTAATTCTTCAATTAACGTGCAAAACTGGTATGAGTTTAAAATGCTTGAACATGAACCAGATATAAAATCATTTGATTTAAAACATGATATATTCAAGTACAAATGGGATTCAAAAATATGGTTAGAACAATTTTCAAATATTAATTCGTCCCCTTCCTCAAATAACATTGCTAAACCAAGAAAAGATTTCGTCCGACGTATGTTACGTGTAACAGTAATGTTAAACACAATGGCAACCGTATATGATGGAAAATATAAACTAGAAAATGAACAGCAAACAAAAATCACATTGCAACGAAAACTAATGAAAACCATCTTGTACAATGAACAATCAAACTTTTTTGATGGTCGTAAAGAAATCACTCCCAAAATACCATTTTCTTCTACGATAATCCACGTTGTTAACGAAGATTGTTTACATTCTTATACAAAATTAGTTAAAAATAGTTTTAATCCAGTTTTATTAAATATGGCCAATGCAGTAAGCCCAGGTGGTGGTTATCGTCGTGGAGACGGGGCACAAGAGGAAAATATATTTCGTCGTACAAACTATTATACCAGTTTAAACTATTTTTTAGAACCTAATCAACAACATACCGATCATCAAAGATTTGAATGTAGTGCTCACACCACATTAACAGCACTTGCTGACAATGAATCAATGTACCCAATACATGAATTTGGTGCTATCTATACATCCGGCATAACTGCATTTCGTGCTACTGAACAACGAGGCTATGAATATTTGTCGACACCGATTTACAACATGAGTTCAATTGCATTAGCTGCATATCAGAAACCCGATACATATGGCGGCGACCGATTAGCTCCTAAATATGCTGTAGGAACACGTAAAAAAATTGAAAATTTATTTGCTATTGCATTTGTGAACGGTCACGATTCCCTAATACTGTCAGCGTTGGGTTGTGGTGCCTTTCACAATCCGCCTTCTCATATTGCATCAATATTTAAAACAGTCATTGAACAATATGCCGGTTTTTTCAGACAAATTATTTTTGCTATAGTTGATGATCATAATACGGGAAAGCAAATGAATCCAAATGGAAATTATCTACCGTTTAAACAGATTGTCGATAATGTGACTGTTCGACCTGCTGCAAAGTTGTCTCCTGGAATGATGACTGGTCCATATGAGGTAACAGAAAAGCTAACCATAAACGATTTCATAATCTTTAATGCATCACCATGTTACGATGCAGCAAAATGTAAAAAGATTAACAATCCTGAACATTGTCAAAAATACACACACCCACCATATTGTCCTCAAAGACTTGTATGTAACCTTCAAAACGATGACGTTCACCTAAATTTTTTTATTCATCGAATACACTGTAAATATGGCGGTGAATGTGAATTTATTTTGAAAAACGATCAGCAACATCTGGCTGATTATATTCATCCGGAGAACTGTCCATCCAGTGGTCGATGCACTGATATGAAACGGGAGCATTTAGAGATGTATTGTCACCTTCCTCTCTGCAAACACGGTCCAAACTGTTATCAGAATCTGAATGGAGATGTTCAACATTGTAAATCATTTCGTCATTGTAAAACAACATGCAAATATGGAAATAACTGTGTTGACTTCCACAATTCAGAACATATTAAGAATGAGTCACATCCGTTCAAGGAACCATGTCCGCTAACACCCTACTTATGTACAGCATTCATTCAATATTCACAATATAATCCAAATAGTTCACAACAAACTATTACAAAAGCTGAATTAGAACGATTGAATTATCATTGTTTGTGTTATTCACATGTCTGTCTATGGGGAAGAAACTGTACCATCGAAAAAACGGATAAACATTGGAAGAACACTATTCATATAGCAAGAAAACTGTGTCCAGATTCAGATCATTGTCCAATGTTGACAAGTGAAGAACATCTAAACACATTTTCACATCCAAATATGAGAGACATCCGTCTGTTATGTAAATATTCAACAACAGAATGCAGAGATCGTTATAAAAAGGAACATTATATCAAATATCGACATGGAACATCAGAAGAACCATTAGGTGTTACGAAATACTTTGGTCTCAATAAAGACATAAGCTTCAGTCGCAATCAGAAACAAATGATACAAATAATAAGAAATTATTTTCAAATAAATGACATCAAAGTATCATCAGATATTTTGAATTGGATTCATGCCTTACAACCAGTTCATCGTTGTAATTTACAAATATTTGAATCAATGTTAGTACACGGACATGTTATGAGCCGAGAATATATGAATTATTTGGGACAAGCTAAAGCCGCTGGCAATGCTGCCAATCAGCAACAACAACTTATATGCAGAAAAAAATTAGCTCATTTGTTGACGACGATCCTGTTGATATCCCAACAAGAGAACATTTGCTGAGTAAACTTTTTACCTCAACTCAGCTTGATGTAATACATTCATGTTCAATTGAAGTTGCTCAAGCATCATTAGTATTACAAAATAACAAAACGGGAATTGGTTATGAAACAGATGAAAAATTGTGCACTAATAAACATGTATTTTCTATATTTGGGCCACATTATGGCCATTATTATGGAGATATATTTCTTATCCTTAAGCGTGATATAATGTTACATCCAGATTCAAATTTTACAATACAAGCAGCAACAACCTATGATAGTGGACGTGCATATACACTTCGGCCTTGGCTAACAGACCCCATAGATATCAATGAACGACATAAACAACTGCATTTGTCTAAACTACATTGTTCATCGAACGGATACGATTATGCTGCGGCTTTGGAATTAATGGCTTTAACCAGTTTACCAAGAAAGACTCTAAACATTAATTTAAACCAAATTATTGCCCGATGGACTGGTATAGATTCTCATTTCGTGTTTGAAGCTCATCTGCCACAGCTGATACCTCTAAATTATGTCGATCGTATTTACATGCCAAAAAACTTATTTGATGCATTATCTGAGAAATCCAAACAATATGTTGCACAACTGTTTAATGACTCTGTACTAACTGTTACAGATCACGTAGTTGCTACGGATTCTGCGTTAGATCAGCCCAGAACTCAGTATCAAACACATGTAAATAGCCAGTTACTACAACATATTAAAAAACGAGCTGGTCATAAACGACCGCTGTTATCTACGATCGGAACAACGATTACTGTGCCCGGATCAAAGTTTTCTTCTTATATACTGTTACCTGTATCAATAGCAGATACATATTATTCTACAAGAAGGTCAACAGCAGATGGAATTATTTACATTTACTGGAAAGCTTTAAAAGGTGATTTTATGATCGTATTAACTGATGACCCAATACACGCAAAACAATCAAATCCACAACAGTATTTGACATGCTATATTGGAACTATACGACTTATAAATAAATAAAATAATACCAATAACAACTACTTATAATAGTACTTCTGATTCATATTCCTATATTCATAATCAACTTCCATCACTTCATGATGTAGTTGCTGAAATGCAAAATTTTAAAGTCTGTTCAAATACATTTCATAAAGGATGTAATACCGATGATTTCATAACGTATTGTATGAGAATCAATAAACAAACGGGGAACGTTTCTCTAATACATGCTGGTGCAAATTGTGTTTATAATCATACATCGTTAAATTATACATTTGATAAAACAGAACTGGATCTATCACGACTTGAATACGTTCAGGTTAGAGCCGGTTCACAAACGGTTGCAATCCAAAACATTACAATAACCGATGAACCCATCGATGAACTTCACTCATCATTTGATAAACAATTTAACGCTTCAGTTTCAACATCGGCTCAAAATAGCAATATCACCACCGCTAACAATGCAAATAAAAGTCAGGATACAACACCGAAAACGAGTTGGACAGACAAAATTAAAGATGGCATTAAAGAGTTTTTTGCTTTCGGTAACAGCAACGAACAAGCAGAAGAAGCAGAACTGCTTACACCGTGCAGAGACTCATTTTTACATCAGTATCCAGAATCAAATGAACATAATACAAAATATTCACATCCATGTCGATTTTCGGAATTATGTCATAATATCAGAGATGAGCAACACGCTATCCAATTTACACATAAAAAACAATGTATTTATTTGTTTATATTATATTTGTTTATATAATATTTGTATATATTTGTTCTTTACAAATGATCATTTTTGTAAAAGTATATTTTCGTAAGGAAAATATCTTAAAAATATTGTGTGCAACTATTTTTTTCCACGAGGATGTATCTAACTTATATATATATAGCTAAACTAGTATAAAATAAAATATTCTGTGGTAACTGTGGAATAGTGCAATAGCGACCAACAATTTTATCGGTCTTTTTAGCTGAAACAATACATTTTTTATCTATATTTAATTCCACGCCGACCCTGTAACAATTTTTCCTGCGAGCTACTGTTTCTTTTCTTCCAGGATAACATCCTAAAGACCTTGTACGGTAAGTGTAGTAAGATATCTGTCGTGCTAAAAGTCATAAGAGCGAGGAAAATATCCTACAAGATATATCCAACAACGTGGTGGAAAGTTTTCAGTAGGGTCGGTTGTTGCAAAAACCTGCAGGATATAACTAACATCCACAGGATTTTTAAAAACCCCTGGCTGCCAGCGCAGGATTTCAAAAGTTTTTTTCAGCGGGAGTAATCGCGTTTTCCAGAAATCCGGATTTCCAAGAAACCGAGTGTAGAGCTCTTCAAACTTTTTACTAATATAAATGGAATCAGCACACAGGAAAAGGAACAGCAAAATAGATTTTTTAGGATTAATAACATTTTTTCGTGCATTTTATTTTCCAAAGGTCCTGGTTTTCAGAAAAATCCAGATGAAAGCATTACTGAGCTTTTCAGAGCATCTGAAAACTTGTAAGTATGTGTTCATAGACTTTCTTATTACTTTTAAAGCACATCTTCACATAGCTAACCATTGTCCACTGTGGGAGAATCGTTGGAAATGTAAAAGCTGTGAAGTCAACAGCTTTGACTCGGATGAATACTGCTCATAAATCGGGTTTTCTACAAATTATGGAAGGCCTTGGTGAAAATTCGACTTCTGTCGCAATCTCTGGCTCACAGTGGGCAACCATGTGGACATTAGGTGAAAAAACGAAAGTGGACTTTGGCAAGTTCAAATAGCAAGTCATATACTTGGGCAAACGCTACATCTTTTTGCCACCGGAAGTTTTTTTCTAGGTGTCATAATTAGCGACAAAATCGCCATGTAAATTTTTGTCGGAAAAACAGGGCGATTAAGTTAAAAGAATTATCTTCGTCAAAACAAAGTACGATTTTCGCAAAACTTATACACCGTGCGAAACTAGACCTTTGACTCTATCTATTCCTAAAAGAAAACTTTTCCAGAACGCTTTATTACCGAGAAAAAAAATTTTCTTTCTACGCTAAGTGTGTTCCAAAAAGCATACCGTAGTATAGTGGTGGGTGCGCGAAGGTAAGCGAAGCTCCAGGTTTAATGAAATTTTCAGCGAACATTCGTCTACTAACGATATATCGACGCTGTTAGCGCAAACTAGTGCAACTGCTCTTGGGCTGAGTTATAGGTTTTTGCAGAAACCCGTTGGTTTTCCAGGTAAAATCATATTATCTCCTTTTGGAAAGACATTTATTCAACAATAATATCATATTCGGAATTAGCGTGAAAAATTGCATCGAATGATATATAATTTACAGCAGTTTTCTGGGAAAAAATTATAAGTTTTCGTGGAAGGCTAAATTTGAGGCAGCACCGTGGTACTTGAGACCGGTAACTTTTATATCGTTAGAAAAGAGATCTGGAGGCCTAAAAATAATTATTTTATAGGTTTCCGAGCACGGCTGATTCAACGGACTTATTTAAAAAATTCTAAACTGGTTTTGCAAAGGTTTTCTATAGACAGGATCTCTGGAAAACCCTTAAAACATGGATTTTGAACTTTGTAAGTGACTTTAGAAAGAGCACACTCGAAAACCTACAAAAACATATCTGAGAGATCTTTTCAGCGCTTTAAAATCCAATGTCCACATGCCTAGGCAAAATGGCCCACTGTCCGACTTCGTCTCTAGCCTAGAATTCAACTATTCAAAACGTTAAAAGTTGATTTATAAGACAATGATGTGTAAACATTAGCTTAGTTTAATATTTTCAGCTATTTTTCACTGATGATCTTAATAACATTTGCATCACTTTCATCATTCGAACTATAGATGATGTATTCGCTGCTGGATATTATTTAGACGGATAATCTCACTTCAACTTGAAACATTGTCCCCTTAAGATGTACACATTGAGCAACTTGCTGTTCTACACGACAAGATCCTTAAAACAGGTGATCACTTTTAGTCATCTGCCTCACTCCATTTAGAATATCATATCTTTTTGTAAAGAGTCGACCGAGATCATAGTAGAATTTGAAAATACACCGTTATACACGTAAAGAAGGAGTACTAACAGAACAAGATTTGCTCATGTTTACAGTTGGAAAAAATACAATACAAAAAACAAAATACAGAAATTCTTGCCTTATTGCCTTTCTCCGTTATTCAGCCATCCCAGATTATTCAAAACATCAACATTATTTATAGTACATATATGATAATCATAAACCTACCAACAGCTTTAGTTGTTTAATGCAGGCGCATATTACAATATTAATGATTTTTCCCGCATGAAGGAGGAGTAAGAATTCTTTATGAATGAGCAAGTGAATAAGCATCTGTTGAGTTTAACTCTCTAGAATATAGTCGAAATTCATCCATGGCGCCGTAAAATTGTCCAGGTATGACTGGTGATGATGTACAATTTGTTCCATTTAATGGATTTCCTAAAGTGATTGTATTAGGTACGCCACTTGCTAAGTAACTAAAGGAACTTCTAACACCATATAATGTACCGTTTATATACATCCGAACACCATTTGTAAAACTGTATGTTTCGACAATATGAGTCCAAACGTTTACAGGCAAAACGGGTCCTGTTATATTGACCAAGCTTTTGTTCCAGTTTTGAGTAATAATCTCTCCCAATGAACTCAGTCCGCAAGATATCCAAGTATTGTGTAACTTTAATTTATGTGAATGTTGAAAGTAGTATTGATACAAGCCACCTATACCAGAGATTATTGTTTTATCGAACAGCGTTGTCGCTTTGACAGTATATACCTGTACACGTATATGAAGACACCTTTTGTTAAATGTAGTCTGCCATCTTCAAGTGTGTTAAAAAAAAAAGTTTACTCTACGGGAAACGTATATCAGCAGCAGTTCAAAATAATTTGCCTCTTAAAGAAGTAAAGGTCGTGTATGAGAGTGACGATAATAGAAAGAAAGGAAAAGAAACAAAAACTAATCCTTCCCAATCCGGGAATCGAACCCGGGCCGCCGCCGTGAAAGGGCGGAATCCTAACCACTAGACCAATTGGGACAAGAGTGTTCTTCTGACAGAAGTGTCTCATCAGTCCACACATTCTCTTCGAAATAAGAAGCAGTTAAGTAC